AGAGCGGTCCCTCCTTCTCCACACAGAGGTTAAACTGAGGAGTAACTTCAGGAAGAGACAATGGGAGCAGTTCAAGAGACATGGCCACAAGCAAAGATTTTAATAATGTGCATAGACTTATCAGCCGACAATCCATACCAGTGATGGGATGGGAGCCTAGCTTGCCTGTGACCTGAAATCATAGCTGTTTATTGACTTGTGGGGAGAAAAAAATGCTGGCAGGCATCTCAGCCCAGCCCTAATCTTAAGTGCATTGTGAAGCATGATGCGAAAGAGAGGGAATTTTTGGCCCTCCCAGCACTGATTTGCACATCCTGCCCCGTTTCATTACAGGTCCCAAGCCTTCTCCCTGGCTGGTTTTGAATTCTCCCTACAACTGAGTCATTTCAGAAAGGGTAATAGGTCTATTTATGTCCCTTCAGGGTCTTGAAGGAATACCATGTTGAAGTATGTCAGGTTTATTCTGCTAAACATTTTCAAAGCAACATTAAGCATGATCAAAAACAGGTAGCCTTGACACACGTCTCAAAAGAGCCATCAGATTGACTCTGTTTAAACTAGTTGGTGCATACTGCTGTGTACACAGGTTTATAGACTATGGCCCCAAACCTGTTGGTTCTAGTGGGAGTTGCACTCAGATTGTCAGATATTTAAGTGTGCAAGCCCAAGGACCTGAATAGCTTCCATGTAAACACTCAAAAACTGAAGTATATGCCCCAGCTCAACATGTGCTGCACATGAATGAACCGAGGGGTTTATTGCTCCCAGGCGCACATTCAAACCGTGCGCCTGGGAGCAATTTATTCATACGCTGTAATTGTGCATGTAAACACGCACTGTGCCTTCCACAAACTGACCATTCCTTTTGACAAATGGGGAAGTAAACATCCTTTTGTTGTTTAACTTTGCAAAGAAGAGAGAGATCCTGTTATTTCTCAAAGGATAAACAGTTAAAGAAGAAGTTTCAAGTAGCCATTTAAGTTTTTAACAAAAGCACTTACAATACAACCGTAAGAGTTGGTAATAGAGTCACAACATTTTACTTTTCTGAATAGCCCCTAGATCCTAAAGGTATATGAGGAGGTGAGAATCTGCACCTTTATACACAAGTCCCTAGCTCTCCTGGGTCATGCTGCCAATTTAACAAGGTAAACACATTAAGAATGCTTTAAGAAAAAATACTTTTTTCAAATATTTGGAGTTGATAATACTGAGTATTTGAAACTGTCCCTTTTCTATGAATTAACAAAAATAACACTCATTTTTTTAATATATTAAAACAGATTTGTTCTGTTTTACCCATATGAACAATATTTCCTCCTTAACTGTCATGATTAAAGTTCAGGATTCTTTCTTCTGCTACAGTTGATGTTAAGTAGCCACTGCAAACCAATGGGTTTAGCTCTGTGCTTGCTTAGGGTATGGAAAAACATGCATTTTAGCCACTTTAACAGGGGAGGGAGAATTGATGCTTGGAAGCATGCAGTAGCTGTAGTTGTAAGTGTTTGGTCTATGTGCTCTTACAAGGATGCAAGTAAACTGAATCCTCTGGAAGCTGGATCAGTTTTGCTACTCTTACATTGCTACAGAATCATGCAGGTATAATAGTTGCATCATAACAGATGTAACAATTGTACTGATTATCAAAGGATAGCGATACAAACTGTCTATATCAGGGGTTCCCAAAGTTTTTATGCTGCAGCCTGACAAACTGCACCCCAGCAGTTGCAACTGACCATGGCCAGAATTTCTGGCCAGAAGACGGGTAAGAATACCCCTGTCCTGGGGGCGGGGGGTGGGCCAAACCCTGCGCTGCCGTGGGCCCTGTGGAAAGAGCTGCGACTTCTCCACCTGGTTCTGGGGGGCTGCAGTTTGCAGATCCGCGGCCACTTCTGGTCCGGCTGCCAACTATGCTTCAGGCCAGCAGCCGGGCTGCAGTCCAGGGATTGAGAACCCCTGGTCTATACCCTTGTATACTAGTGACATCCTCTTTCTAGAGAAAGTCCCCTAAACTTCTATGTAGCCTTTCACCTTC